CAGATACCTTTTTCATTCTGTGGATATTGATTTAAGAGTAAATCTTGTCAGATAAACTGGATCACTTTTTTGTTTGCAGACAGGCCTGGGAATTTAAATTCCTAACTCTGCTGAACATTAAAAATGGTGGATTTAACACAGGCACTGGTTTAATGGTTCAGTTATAACAATTTGTAACATGTACTGCTGCCTACTCAACCTCTTTTCTTATGACTGCAGAGATGCTACAGTTAACACACTTTTTGCAAAAAGATAACTTGCAACACTGATATTCAGTGGGATATAGAAGTTGTGAAAATGGTAGAATACACCTACTGGTGACAAATTAGCTAGAGTAGACCTTTGTAATAGTCAAAAAGATCCAATGTAATATTTTATTGTGTACAGGAGCAAGAGGGGAATACTCATTCTGTCTCTAGTGATCAGAGACTGCTCCTTGAATATTCTTAGTTCAGGGCACCTCATTACCCATATGCAAATGGGAAGGCATTCACAGAAGAGAACCAAACCGATAGAAAGGATTGACTTGATTCTTGGTGCACACAAAGCTAGTATGTACAGCTTGGCTAAATATTTAATGGGGAAGATGAATTGAAAGTGTGCAAATTATCAGGAGGAAGAGAAATATAACTAGAAGTAATGAAATAAGAAGGAAAAGAGATCACAAAAATATTCCATATGTGGATGAGATGTACTAAGTTCTGGAATGTTCAACTGAAATGGGGAAGCCCAATTTTCTTGACATGTTGAAACTAGACTAAGTATTAGAAAAATGTGCTCTGCAGAATAAATTCTGCCTTTTCAGGGAGATGGACAGGATAATCCGATGCAAAGATGTATCACCACTTGCTATAAGGTTGAGGTTTACTGTCCCACTCTTTTAAACCAGTATTTCTTAAACTTTTTAAGACCGAGGAGCACCAAACAATTTTTTTAATGAGGAACAGTAAGGATTTTTTTTGTTGGGGGGGGGGGGGGGGTAGGAAGGAAAGTTATTTGGGGGGGAAGGCTCACCTGCACCTTTAAGGGTGGCCATTTTGAACTCTTTTGTTCTCCACATCACAACTCCGACTGCCTCGCGGCACACCAGTGTGCCACGGAACACAGTTTAAGAAACACTGCTTTAAATACATCCCTGTATGGGCATGGGGGAGGTGTGAGAGAGAATTATTGTGAGTTGAAAAAAATCCTTATCACACTGGAAGCTCTTTGAGATTATTACCTCCTAAAATCTCCAGATGCCAATGTAAAATCCCTTAGGACACGTCTTTACTCACCGCGTCAGAGATTGACATTCTGGCGTTCAATTTAGTGGGTCTAGTATAGACCCGTAAATTAAATGCTGAGGGTAGCTCCAACAGTCGCAAGAATTAAGGGAAGTTGACAGGAGTGTTTGCCCCCGTCAGCCTCCTGCATTGGGGACAGCGCCAAACTTGGCTTAAATAAGCCAACCCCAGCTATGTATTCTACGTAGCTGGAGTTGCATACCTTAAGCAGACCTTCTAGGTCTAGTGTCGATCTCACCTAAGGGTTTCACAAAAAGAAGTGCAGCTGCTCATGTTTATTCCCATGTAAATGGATGTTGGCTTACCAGATGTGAGTAAGGTGCTTCAAAACCACAGTTTGAAGAATAAAAATTAAAAGTTTTTAATGAAAAGGTGACACTTTTGCTGTATGAAATACTACTCTCGAAACAAGAAAAATACCTTTATTGTGACATTGTCCTAAACCTTCATGGACTATGGACATAGTTTTTCTAAAATGTAATAATGATAAACAGCTCAGCTCACACCAAAATGTCAACTGCCATTTGTGCCTTAGGGCATGTTTTCAATATAGCCTGGAGTGACAGGCAGTGATAGATCTAGCAGAGGTCAATTTATTGTGGCTAGTGTAGACACAATAAATCGACTGCTGAGTTTTCTCCTGTCAACTCTGGTACTCCATCAAAATGAGAAGAGTAACAGGCATCAATGGGGGAGCATCAGCTATCAACTTACTGCCATGAAGATACTGCGGTAAGCACACCTAAGTACAGTACATCGACTTTAGCTATGTTGTTCACATAGTTGAAGTTGTGTAACTCAGAACAAGGGCCTGCTGTAGTATAGTTAAGGCCTTAGAAGATCTTCCCCTGCATCATGCTTTCTATCATTTTGTGTGTCATCTGGGCAATATATCTTATTGCGTAGAACTAGTCTCCATTTTATGTGTGGCGAATTTTTGAATTAATTTATGTATACTTTTTGTGCATCAGATAATTGAAGTTGCAAATGAGGGCATATTGACATTTAGTTGTTTGTGGGTATAATTGGGTGGCTTACCATCTAAAATGATGGAAGTATTTACGGCTACAGATTATTGATGCCACAAAGGAAGGTTTAAAAATTATGCATGTAACCTGTATAAGTACACTGCTTCTTTTAAACATTTTGACAGTTCAGGTTGAGGGTGAAGAAGGAAATCCAAATTATAAACTGGTGACAGAATATAGTAACACTTATAGTCAGATACTTTTGTATTTAATAGGGTTAATTAAGAGCAGCATAAATTTCTCAAAGTGTAGTTAACAATGTAAAAGATAAAAGCTGCTGTTTGATAAGAAGAGGTCAATGGATCTACAAATTACCCATTTAGAAAATTTGATTTATTAACATGATTTGTACAAAAATGATTGTTAGATATTTATTACTCCACCTAAACAGGTGAGCTACTAAAAGATTTCCTTGAACTTTTCTTACTCTAGCTTTGTACATTCTCCCATATATACTTTGATAAAATACCACTTTGCAACTATTTACAATGACACCATTCTTTTGTAAACCATAAGCACTGCTATTATATTTCATATTCTGCAACAAGACCGTACAAAAATATAGGGGGATTGACTCTTTTCTCTATTAGTTGAAGATTGCCATTGCTACAAACTAGTATAGGGTTACTGGTCCTTTTACAAAAGATACCAAATGCTTAAAGATGCAGTATACCGTATTTTAGCGAATATAACCTGTGGGTTATATTGGTTTTTACAAACCCTGCACCCCCCCCCCAAATTGGGTGCGGGATATACGAAACGTTTTTTACTCACCTGGGGGTGAGTGCGGCTGTGTGAGCCTCCCGGCGGGGGGTCTCCAAAAGCTACCAGGGGGGTGAGTGCTCCCCCGCCATGCAGCACATGCCTTGGAGAATGCCCCCTCCCCGCTCTGAGAGCCCCTCCTAGCTGAGCCTTTGCTGGGCTGGGTTGAGAGCTACAAACACCTTTTCCCCCGCAGAGAGCCCGGGCCGGATTGAACAGCCCGTGGCTGAACAACGCAGGGAAACTTATGGGGGGGGAGGCACGGAGCCCAGTAACTTTTTCCCTGTGTGGCTCTCCCAGAAGTGGGGGCGGAGGGCAAAGTCTGCCCTGGAGCCCGGAACGCTCCAGAGCTGGGGCAGAGGCATCCCCAGCAGAGGCGCAAGGCGGGAGGCTCCCAGCCCAGCCTGACAAAGGAAAGGAGCCCGGAACCCTGGCCCGGGTGGCAGGTGGCCCGCACCACAGATCACTGCAAACTGCCCATGCCCCCTGGCAACCTGCTCGTAATCTTCCCTGCACCCCCTTGCAAATCTTCCTTGTAGCCCCCTTGCCACACCTCGGAGCAGTTGCGGGCGCGGGGCTCGGCGGCCAGCAGCAGCAGCGGGAGGCTGCAGGCGGCCACGGTGCACAGGAGCGGGGTCAGGCAGGAATATATCCGCACCCGAATAAACCCTGCCCCCACGGGCTATACTTGTGCGTGGGGTATACAGGGATTTCTAAATTCAAACGGCAAAAACCGCAAGGTATATTTGGGTGCGGGGTTTATTCGCTAAAAGACGGTAATCATTTGTTTTGTGAGAAGTCATAATTTATGTATTTGAGCCAAATTGAAATAGTTACATATGGCTGACTCCCAAGGATGTCAACAGAAGTTGAGCTAGAATACCTAAAGATTGTGGGCAAGAAGGGATATTTTATCATACCTTGGAGAAATGCTACAGAGTTTTTAAAAACCACAATATTCATCTTAAATAAATTGACCTGCAAATGCTACTTGAACTTGTCTGACTTTAATAGAAATTGCCTGAGATCACTTAATCATTTAAGTAAAATATTTGTTAGAGCTTTTCTTGCATCTAATTGTTTTTTGAAAAACTCCAGTCAAAAATGGCTTTTGGCTTAGGCATATCCATGCTTAATTCTTCATGGAAAATTTAATTAGTCAGAAATGTAGTTTTGTTTTATGGGAGTTTAAAAAAAATGTGATTGAGTTCTTTAAATTAGTAACACTGTGTTAAAAACTGTTTATTGTCAAAACTGATGCAACTCCTGTTGGCAAATATAGTGTCAGCTTTTACTTTTTGTTTTTAAGACTGTATTAAGTTAGTGTCTGATTAAGTTAGCGTCTGATTAAGTTATTTTGTAAAAATGAAGATTATGTAATAACTGCTTTCCCAAAGCATATGTAGTCAGGTGTGTATATTTTCATTTTCTTTGGTAGACTTGTACCTTGGGAGTAGAGATTCCAGCTGAACAGATTAAGTTTCTGAAACAATACATTTTCTCAGACTTCATGGAATTGTTCTGTTACATTTACACTTGTTTGGCTCAAAGGCCAAATGCTGAGGTATTTTTCATTTTATATTTGTTTTTGCAGGGATCTTAGCAACATCAATTGTGAAGAACTTGGTCCACTGCCTCCTGGATGGGAGATCCGTAATACAGCAACAGGCAGAGTTTATTTTGTTGACCATAACAACAGAACGACACAGTTTACAGATCCACGTCTATCTGCTAATTTGCACTTAGTTTTAAAGTAAGTTTGAGAAGCGTCCAACACACATTAAATTTAATATTAGAATAAAGAGCTGACTCTTGTGAGAGCGCTTGATATAAGCAGAGGTGCATTCTGTCCTTCTGTTATGTAAACTCTGCAGCAGTATTTACCCTTCAATTAACATGCTTCAGATATCTATGTGTATAATAGTGTATATGAGAGAGCTTTGATTACTGTAATATTTTAATCTCTACCACCCTTCAACAGGGGCGTGGCCACTGTGATGTCATGGGGGGGCAGGTGCCGTCCCATGGAAGAGATCTGCCACCCCAGGTGAGATATTGTATAGCAGTGGCATTTATCCAGGGACAGTAGAAGCAGTGTGTTGCTGTACCTTTTTGCATTATCTTCAGAACTTAATGTTTTAATCTATGGGGTAAAAAACTGATTTTAAAAAATTTTGTATTCATAGAAAGTAAAATTGATGCATTAGGCCAGTGATCAAGTAGCTAGATACAGTGTGTCAGTCTATATGTCCAGCACCAGATCTCTAATAAGGACAATTAGAAACATTCCATTCATTGGAAATAAAGCTACTACTAAACTTAGAGGAAAAACAGTAAGGCTATGTCTAGACTACAGGGAAGATTCGGAAGAGGATATGCAAATTCCATGGGAATTTGCAATTCTTCTTCCAATCTCACTTTCAAAAGTGAAAGTTTAGACACGGTTTTTTCAGTGACACCCTTCTCCCCCCTCTTGTTGAAAAGTCGCTTTTCCTCAAAATGAGGTTTATGCAGCTTTTTAAGAAAGGGGGAGTTTGCCGAAAAAGCCACGTCTAAAGTACCTTCACTTTCGAAAGCAGATATGCAGATTCCCACAAAATTTGCATATCCTCTTTCGACTTGTTCCGCATAGTCTAGATGAGCTCTTTGGGGGTACGTTAGAGCTAAATTCTAGTGTGAATCATAAGTTTCTAGTGTGCATCATAAATACTATGTCCCAGCATTTAGAATCTTAAAATTTAAATCTGGGTATTTTCAGACACTGCCATTTTATTATTATCGAATAAACATTGTGGAATTCTGGTTCTCATTTTCATACCTGATGTACTCATTTCACATTTGAAGTGTTTCAAAATTGCTAAATATGGAAACTAAAAAGAATACAAATGTTTTTTTTTGTCTAGACGCAACTATCAGCTTGTCCAGGCATTGCTGGAGCTTTGATTCTGTTTCTCCCACTAACACCTAAGACTATTGTGTTGGGAAACACCTGTATAGTATTAACTGGGTATTAAATGGAAGAAACAATGAAGAGTTGGATGGGCAGAAAGCCATATGCAGTCAGCATGAGGAGGTGTTGGGGAGGGATGGCCATAGGTTTTCTTAAAGGGAGTCAGGCTATATTTATGCTTAAACTGCTACAGTAGCACAGTTGCAGTATTGCAGTACGTTTTTATAGTGCTTCAGTATAGATGCTACCTATGCTGACAAGAGGCAGTAGTTTGGTAGATGGAAGAATTCTTCCTGTGAACTAGCGCTGTCAATACAAGGGGTTAGATCAGTATAGCCTCTCCAAGACATCACTGTGCCAGTAGAAGTTCCTGGTGTACTAGTCATTGGGAAGGCAAGCCAAGAAGAGTATGTCAGGAGCTAGCAAGCAGAAGAATCAAATTCGGTTCCGAAAACATCCAGAAAAGTTTCTTATGTAACTTGTGCCATCACCTAAAAGTTGGCTAGGTGATTTGGGGAAAATGGCTTTTGTCCAGACAATCCACATCAGGAATTTAATGTTTTGAGAGAGAAACTCCCATTTTTACTTGAGAAAACATATTTTTAAATGTTTTTGCGGACCCTTTTTTTTAACATTACAGACATTTTTATGAAAGTCTTCATAGTCCAGGTTGATAACTTCTTTTTGTGCAAATATACATTTTTTTCCCCCTCAACCCTATTTAGATTCCTTGGCTCCTTAGCTGCCTCTAGCATTGAAACTGAATTTACCAGTGATGCATTGGGAGCCTGCACCCAGCCACATTTGTAGAAGGTTCAATTCATTGGAATATAAATATTTAAAAAAATTCTGGTTAGCACTGCCACTGTTTAGATCCACCAGTTGCCGTTTCATAGATATTTACAAAATAACTGTGGCCAGGTAGTTTTACATTCTGTTGTGACTTACAGTAGAGCCAGCTTTGCATCAGGATAATCCAGCTTGACTTGCAAACTCCAGAACCATTTTACACTTCTTCAAGCTGTAAGACCTACAATAATTTGTTCAAGCTTTCCATTTGTACATCTGTCTTTGATTAGGAAAGGATTTTAGAAATTCAACCAACAGTGTCTGCAGGCTGACAAATCTTCTGTAATGTTTATTCTTTTATTGTACCAGACAGGATATGTGAAAGTGATTCTCTCTGTGTACCCACCTTCCTGTCCCCCCCATCCCCATTTGCACTGAAGAAAAAATATGTAATTTGCCTTAAGCTTGTAAGATTTTTTAAATTATCTGAAAAATAAAATATTGGGATTCTAAATTCAAAAATACAGCATACAGTTCAGGGTACAACATACCCTTTGAGCAAGGGTGCCATTTTGTCTTGATGGCATTTATGGCATTATATATAGCTAGCTACTTGATTTTGTTTAAAATTCAAATAATGGCCTAGAGTTGCTGATAGTTTTCAAAGCTGAATAAATTAAAAAAATGCTTCATTGAGTATATTACTTTGGAATGTAGTTGAGCAATTTTCTGGTGATTCAAATATTAAAAGTAACTATGAAAATGAGTAAGAAACAAATAGCAAAATACCGACATCAGCTGTTAGTAATGGTAAAAGAATGCTTTTATTATTTTAAGTGCTGCAGACTAATATAGCTAACACTTCATTTGGTCTGATTTGGTTAAACTGTAATTTGATGCGTAGTTCTTAAACTCACACTGATTTAATAGATTACTTACTTTTCCTTTAAGACTGAGATTAATTGGCTTTGTGTCTACAGGGCTACTCTCTTTAGTAAAGTATATAAAATAACCTTGTCTGGTAGGCCTAACACAAGGGATGTTTTTACTGGCTTGCCCTTGTGGAATTAGAGTGTTCAGGAAATGAAAGAATGATTTCCTTTTAGCTTCAGCATCATCAAGCGTTATCCTCAAATGTATGAAGTTTATATTGCTGTTAAAAATGAATCTGTTGTCATGCATCTTATCACAAGCTAGAGGATAATATTAAGTATAAGCCATTGGGTGCATTAGAAATCCGTAGCGTTAATGATGTAGGACTGGGTTCAGGAACTGTGTTGGAACTTTGCTTCAAGGACCATTTGGAGGTGGACAGTTAACGCTGATCTAGACATGGCCCGGTTGCATTGCTCAATGGTGTGATAAGCTCACGCTCCTGAGCAATGTGGCTAAACTGACAAAAGTTTATCCCTATGTAGACAGTGCTAGGCAAGTAAGACTTCTTCCATCGACATAGCTACCACCTCTTGTGGAGGCAGCTTACATGTGCCAGCGGGACAGTTTCGCCTGATGGCAGAATTGGCATCCCTAATGAGGCGCTACAGCAGTGCAGCTGCACCACTAGAGCGTTTTAAGTTAGTTTCATAGGAAAGAATGGAGAAGGAAGTGGAGTATCTTGCATTTTAGCTCACCCAAGTAGCTAGTTCTAGACCATCACTGAGATCATTAAATCATTTTAGTGCATTTTTAAGCATAGTGATTTTAAAATAACTGAAGCTCATTGTAAGTAAAACCAATAGTGGTTTCCTTCTTCATTCCCAAATAACTGCTCCTGGAGAGTTTTTTGATACCAGCTTCTTGCTAAATCTTAGGAGAAGCAGCGTACAATTTGTTCTGAGAGATTTGCAATGACAAAAGGGGGAGAGAAACTCCACTGATATCTGCTTCCTGACAAACAAATAATAAATTGTCGTCTCAACATTGGTGGTAGAATTGAAATTAATTCCATTATCCCTCTTTATAACCTGTAGAATAAAAGCAAATATTAACATTAAAACTCCTTTTAAAATTTTTGTTTGTGACTTTGCCACAGTTTGAGAAACACTCCATGTGGACTAGCCTTGTGATCTTTGTTGGTCTGCAGTGACTTTTCTGGTCCCCGTTTTCCTCCTTGTGCACCCTGCTTAATGGCATCAAAAAAGAGGGTTCTGTAAGAACAGAATGGCTACTGAAATGCTGGAGCAAGCTAGGGTTTTCACTTTTCACTGCCAACCATGAATGTTACTTACAGTGGTGAAAGCTTGCTGGAAATGAATTCTGCTTGGCCATTGTTCATAGAGAGCTTTCTAGCAGATCATTTTCAAAACAGTCAAAAGACTAAACTGTTTTCAGGTCTAAAATTATGCATGGTTCATTTTAGTATTTTTGGTATATGAGGCTTGAGATATCATTAAGAACATTCAGCTGAATAAAAAAACCACATCCTGAATTCTAACCTTCGTTCTACAGTACTGAACATTCAATATACTATCTCCTGTGTTCCGCATGTAATTTCTTGCTGTATAGGTTAAGTGAAACACTTTTTTTTTTTTTTTTTTTCATTGTGCTAGGTCAGCGTTTCCAGATGATAGGCCTCATGATCCATCAGCAGGTCATCGAAAGGTTCTAAATGGATTGCAGGCATGGTGCATTTGGCGGGGGGGGGGGGGGGAAACCAGCTTGCATTCACCCTGCAGCTGCAGCTCCTTTCCTGCAGGGCTGACCCTGACTCCCCTCTCCAGACATTGTGGCCTGGCTGAGCACCACTCAGGTTTGGCTTGGCTGCCCTGCTGTCATGACAGAAGAATGGTTCTCTGGCCCTGTGCACAATTGGTTCCTGTGAGGTAGGAGTAGGGTTGCTAGGTGTCCGGTTTTGAACCGGACAGTCCAGTATTTGAGCTTTCTGTTTGGGAAACAAATTGAGAAAATATCAATGAGAAAATATAAATGTCCGGTATTTTCTAAATAAGATGCAATGTCAAGTGTGTGCGGTATTTTTGTTGAAACCATCTGGCAACCCTGTGTAGGAGCTGCCACTCTTGGGTGAGTGCAGAAGCCCATCTCATTGCACTCTCCCATCCCCACAGGTCTGCCCCTCTGCACTGGGGTGGGATTAGGTGATGGTGGTATAGTGAAGAGCCGCAGATGGTCCGTGTCCCCACAGTAGGGGAGGCAGAAGAGGATGCTGGCCTATGATTTTGCCCCCTATCTGCTCCCCACGAATTTGGAACGTGGGTGGGTTGCAAAAAAACAAAAAACAAATGCAGTTGGTGTGTCACCTTATTAAAAAGTTTAGGAACCACTGATCTAGCTCAAACAATATCCACTTACTGTGTGCAAAATGGACGCTTTCACATGCCTGCAGCTGTATAATTGTTGGTAAAAATACATGTTTATCTCTGCCAATTAATTACAATGTGAACTCCTTACATTCCTGTGGCCCAGACTAGTCCAGGTACAAGGGACAAGGTCCTTGCCAAGCTGCCAATACAAACATTTTTTGTAAGGTTACTCTTTTTCAGACAAGCCATTTAAAACAAACTGTGGTATTGACTGTAGATTAGAGGCATAGATTTTGGCATATCCCTGAATTTTAAAATGGAGGAAGGTAAAACATGCAAAGGAAATATGGAAATGGTAAATTCAGTGTCAGCAGCTCAGTGGTAAAACTGTATAGATAATGCTTTATTATATAGTGCTATAATCTTTTACGTACTTCGTAGAATAGCACTAATGGTAGTAACAAACCCTAAAACAAGATACTTGCCAAGAAAGACAGAAGCATATGTCTTTAGTCAGGATAAAGTCTCTGGATATTTTTGACTGAAACTGAACATTTTTTAATGTGTTTACAGTAGGTAACCATGTATAATTGAACCTAGTTTTGTTGTAAATACTAAAATTTAAAAATTATCTGAAAGGGAAATAGGGGCATGTGACTTGGTTTCTGAAAACAGCTGTGTTTGTTTCTAGCCGTCAGAACCAACTTAAAGATCAGCAGCAACAGCAGGTAGTATCGTTGTGCCAGCTTCCAGATGAGGCAGAATGTCTGACTGTGCCAAGGTATAAGCGAGACCTGGTGCAAAAACTCAAGATTCTAAGGCAAGAATTGTCGCAGCACCAACCCCAAGCTGGCCACTGTCGCATTGAAGTCTCCAGGGAAGAGATTTTTGAGGTAAACTGAAGATAAAGCAACTCTACCCATTTTTAAATGACAGAAAAGAGAGAGGAAGGAACTTTCCTGAGGGGTGGTAATGGTATATGCTGGGGTAAGAGTTTGAGGAGTGTTTGGATCCTAGATGAGATATGATTTCATATCTTTGTTGGAAAAGAAAGGAAGGGACGGTTGTTTAGAAAAGGGGAGGGTGCAAACAAATTTTTTTTAATAAATATAACAGGTAAATAACTTCATATAGCATTAATCTTACATACTGTGTGGAAGATGAATATGGATCTCAAATACACATTTTTGTTCAGATTTTTGAAAATGAGGTAATTTAATTTAATGAATTCTCAAGGCTGCTGAGTGATAGGAGATACCCAAAGTGCAGTATTCTCGCTGGAATTTTGCAACATTGTTTTGCTTAATTAATCATATACAGTTGTAATTCTTTGACTCCTCTTCACCGCTACCTTTTCACTTTTAAGTCTGCAACTTGTAGCTCCTATTTTTCCACCGAAGCAGGATTGGATGAGTCTTTCCTTTGAAGACTTGCTCATCACATTTAATTAGGTGGATGGAGGAGGGCTGCTGTGCAGTAATCAGACATGCCAACTAACAGATTTATCAGAAGAGATGTGATTTCTAAGTAAAATTAAGCCTCACTCAGAGTCTCCTGATACATTTTTCAGATGTCAGGATTTTTTTTGGAAAAAGACATTTGATAGTTCTATTGCGAGATTGTGAGAGGCTTGATTTTTCTTAGAAATCACTGTAAGCCTACAGCTGACCTGCTTCAGGGCTCCTGCGGCCAGGGCTCCTCCTATATACTAAAAAGTAAGTTTCTAACTTGTGTGCTTGCAGAGCAAAGGTTGAAAATCTGACCTGAGTGCACCTTAAAGGCTCAGAGACCAGTAGGAAATAGAGAATGCACTTTTCACTGAATTAAAAATCAGAAGTACTTTTTAAATCTCATGATATATGGGGGTCTGGTGTATAATTTTCCAGTGGTAAGGTTTGGCAACACGTAAGCATGTTTAATACAAGCTGTAGTTTCTTGGGGGCTGGGTACTAGCTCTAGGGGATCACGACATTGCTGACAAACAGAAACTGTACATTGAATTCCCCAGGCCTGCATTCCTCCTACCTCTCTGTTCTTCAGTTTCTCTGTTCACACATTTTCTTCCAGTAGTGCCAGCGAGTTACATGATAGAGCTGTAACTCTGTAGGGTTCTCAGTACTGGGCACATCCAGTACTTGCAATACTTGATATTCTTTAATGGTCCCTAGAAGGTTTGTTTGTGCACCTATCCTTAACACAGTGATTCCAAACCTTTTTGTTTAACCCTTGGATTGGCAAACTCATTAAAACAACTTTTGGCGGGCTGGCACTGAAACATTTGCATATTCATTATGGTAATGTATTTGCATATTCATCAGTGCAGTTAATTTTGAGCAGTCACGTGTTATTTTACATTGCATCCGTACACACACAATACATGTCATTCATTGGTCTTAGCCTGTGTGCTGATTCCTATGCACTTAATGTAGTTTAGTTTTTAATAATTAATATTAGCTTAGATGAATGCAGGGTTTATACGGTAGGAAAGCTGTGCCAAACAAATAGTGAAGTATCCCTTTCCCAAATAATGTGAAGTCTAAAGAAAGACATAAAATCATGTGTGCCAGACCCACCAGAACAGCCCCAGCCCCTTCATGCCACTCCAGCTGCCTAGGTAGTGGAGGCCCCTGCTCAGCCCCGCCAGAGGGTCCTTGAGCCAGCTGATAAAGGCAAAGGCAGCCAATTCCCATTGGAAATCAATGAGCACTGGGTCCCAAAGGACATGTCTACACCGAAGGTTTGCCAATACAGCTGAACCAGCAACCCACCCACTGAATATTGCAGCTTCTATTGACCAAAAAAAAAAAAAGCTATTTCTGGTACTACTTATACCAATTCCCCAACCAAAATCTGCTATACTGGCAAAAACACTTTTATGCTGGTATACTTGTGTCTCCATTAGGATTTTTGGAGTATAATAATATTGTGAAGTAAAAAGGCACCCCACTCAGCAGACACTAAGATGCCAGCTAAAATTTCTGGGATATTGTTGGTCTGAATCCATTTTGTGCCTTTAAAAAATTCTCCCTAAAAATCTTGGGGCAGATCCTCAACTGGCATAAATCAATGTTAGAGGGAGGCTCCCACTGAGCAGGGAGGGAGGGTGAATGGGCTTGCTGGGGAAGCTGCCCTCCGTGCAGCATGTGGCGTCTGGGATTTAGAAGTGCTATTCCCAGCTGTATTGCAGACTTCCTGTTTAAGCCATGCCCTTAATTTCAAACAAGGGCTAGACTGAGCCCTAAATCTTGGTGTTTAATCTGTAAAGTGGGAATAATATTTTCCCAACCTCACAAGGTTTTGTAAGGATAAATTCATGAATGTTGGTAAGATATTGGGTCAAGTACCACAGAAAAATAAATATTTAGTAGTAGGAAAATAATGTCCGTCCGGTTAGAGCCCTTTTCTACAAGGAAACAGATGTATAAAGTGATGGTATGTTATGCTGGGGAAAATTCAATCAGTTGTCTCCACCATTCTGTATTAAGAAAAGCTGCACAGTAGCTCTAACTGGTATACTTAGGATCTGCTCTTAGCAGCAGTAGCAGAAACAAAACCATTTTGAGATAACTTTAATGGCATTATTATGTTGTTAAAGAAACCTGTTTTCTACTGATGCTGAATGGATGACGGTTGATGCTATCCTGAATATTCTCAATGAGTCCAAGAACAGTAAAGTGATTGAACACCATGACACTATTTCTTTCAGCTTACTTGCTTATCGGCCTTCTGCTAAATTAGGAGCTTTAAAGCACAAATCCAGTGTCTTAACCTCTGTTTTACGAATGGACCATAGTATGTAACCGGGAGAATCTCCATAGCATTACCACAACTACTATGGATATATCACAATGTCACCCTAAAATACCACTTTTAAGGGTATATCATGCCAAGGGGACAGCTTTTTGTTCTAGGTACTAATGGTTCAATACAGGCTGTATTTTATTTGGTAATTATAGTCTTACTTGCTCATGATCACTTTAGTCTGCAAGCAGATTACCCTGACTGTTTTCCCAGCCTGTGAGATTCCTTCTTTTATGGAAAGGCTGATGATCTTTCACCAGTGATCTAACAAAGGATGCAGAATCTGAGACAGTGCATGGAATGGAAGATTTGTTGTTCTTTTTATGATGCTTCGATCAGTCTTGGATGGCAGATGGCCGCATGGGCTTAATATTGCACTAGAGCATCTAACTGGAAAATGATCATGGAGTGTCTCTACCACTCCCTTTGAACCTCCAGGGCAGATAATACAGGCTAGCTGTACACAGTCTAGAGAAATATCCTTTCCCTAGGCATGCTAAGCACAAGTTCTGCTGGTCTAACTGTGGTGCTTGGCCCCTGCGGCTGGGGCAGCTGCCCTCTGCGCGGCGATTGGCCCTGGCCAACCACTGAAGCTGCCCATCATGCTGCCCTGCAGGCCAGGCTGTGTAGCGGCTGCCAGAGCTGGAATCAGGCCACAGTGAGGCTGCCCCGCCATCCCGGCTCCAGACACAGCTCACCTGGCTGCCTGCTGCACCACTCACCCTGCTGCTGCATGGGGAACCCTAGTGGGTAGGGCTCATTAGCAGCTGGGGGTGTGGCCTATTAGCAGCTGGGGGTGTGGCCTGGCAGAGTGCTGCGGCCAGGGGATTGCTACCTGCCCCAGGTCCATGGACCAGCAGTTGGGAACCACTGCCTTAACAGAATGTTCATGTTTTGTCTTCTCAGACAGGAGAAATGAGCCTTTATATAGCACTTTCAATCTCCAAAGCAGTTTACATAGAATTATAGTTTTTAATTATTTGTAGAAGTTATAGAAGGACAAAGCAAAGAGAAATGATCCCTGCACATGACAAGCAATTTATTATGCTTTTCTTGCATGACTGTTCTTTTTTGGTCAGTTAACGTTATGTATCTAGAAAACCATAGTAAAAATCTAGTGCCTGAGAAATGGTAGTTAATAACTTAAAGGACACTCTGTGATTTAGGTTCTGAAAGTCAAATGATTTATCATAACAAATAGCAGTAGGATGTCTATCCATGAGTATCTGTGAATATGACTCTGTGATTACAGGAGTCTTACAGGCAAGTCATGAAGATGAGGCCTAAAGACCTATGGAAGCGATTAATGATAAAATTTCGTGGAGAAGAAGGTCTTGATTATGGAGGGGTTGCCAGGTATTCAAGAAAACTTTACCTAAATTATCTACTATGCTATCTTGCTTCTACGTAACTTGTCTTTTTAAAAAGTCTTCTTTTTAATGTGTGTTCCACTAATAACTTGCATGGCAAAATTATTTCTCAGTTTTCTGGTATTTCTTTAGAGTAGAAAGTAACACCAACAAAGAAATTAGTATCCTATAAGTAACTCTGCAAAATGACTTGATGGAGATGCATTTTAAATGTGAGCTATGTTTCTAGTAAGTCTGCTAAGATGTAGTTGTTCCCTCTTACCCCATCCCCCAAAAACACACACAACTCTGGTTACTGAAGCTGAGCTCTTAGAGAGTTTACACCATTAAGGCCTGACTTTACCTTGTGATACATTTTTGGGAAGACAAATGAGTCTAATATTGTAGTTTTGAATGAAATAACTTGCCTAGGATTTAAAGTCAAATGTTAGCAATTACTAGAGTAGGGAAATAAAGCCTATTTTAATGTTTCACTTGTTAAAAACATTTTTATCTGCTGGTAGCAAATTTTTCAGTCTAAACATAATTTAAAGTGGTTTGATAGAACACTTGCCAGTATAACATGTGAAGTCCTTGTTCCTACTGCAAAATCACGTAGACGCTACTGTAATACAGACATAATATGCCTCCTTTTTGACGTATGGATGCATGACCTGTGAATGAAATAAGTTGAGACAAATGTTAATTTACCGTATATACTCGAGTATAAGTCGGCCCGAATATAAGCCGAGGCACCTAATTTTACCACAAAAAACTGGGAAAAAGTATTGACTCGAGTATAAGCCTAGGGTAGGAAATGAGGCAGCTACTGGTAAATGTAAAAAATGAAGATAGATACCAATAAAATTACATGAATATTTATTTCAAAGAAAAACAATAACCTAGCTCTGTAAGTGGAAAAGGGGGTCAACAAAAACAATATCGTTCTGCAGGCACAGCCACAGCTCAGCCCCCGCAGCCCCCACGTTCCGGCCCCCTCGCCTGCCAACGAGCCCCCTCTAAACGAGCCAGCGGGGGGCGGGGGGGGCTGTGAGGGACCAAAGCCGGGCA